TAGGGGGTGGGAGAAGCAGCAACTGCAGCTCTGACTCCAACTCCAACCCCAGAATTAGAGCCACTGTTGCTGCCCCCCACCATCTGCCCCCCAGCTTATGCTCCCCTCCTTTGCTCCCCACTACCCCTCCACCTGCCATCTCTGTCCCCCATCTACCATTGCTGTTACCTCCGTGTCACAGGTCGAGCTCTGGCCGGGCCCCACTCTGGCCAGGGGCAGAGAGCACCAAACATGTGCTGCCTCCAATCCCAGCTTGGCCATGCAGCAGTGGTAGTGGCAGCAGCTCTGGTCCAGGGCCAGGGCAGGAGCCAGGGCCAAAGCTGCCACTGCCACAGGGGCAGTTGTCTTAAATTTGAAGTTGTCTTGGATTCAGGTAAATACGGTATTTGTTCTATTGGACCATACAGGCTTGAGAATAATGTGGTTAGAAAAAACAAAATCCTAAGCACCAGGAAATGCTCCCATGACTTGTAAAATGTGGCAGGTGCCATGAGTCCTGCCTCTTACACAGAGGGAAGAGAAGGACAGGGAGTTTCTTGGGCTAGGTGCTGCTAAAGGGCAAAAAACTCAATAAGCAGCAAGCCTTGCCTAAGCTCTTGTCTCAATTCGGAGTCCAAACATGCTTTGACTTTGATTGCCCTTAATAGCTGTAGGTATTGATGACCTATGCACAATGCCTCATCTCTGTGAACATGCTGAATGGTCAGATGAACTCAGGGAAGAATCAGAGAAGCTTGGAGGGAAGTACTCAGAGTCAAACTCTAAATCAATATGGTATTGATAAGACTATGTCAGACTCTTATGCCCTCTTGCTGATTTAGAAACAAATACAGCATGTAGTTTTGGAGGAACAGTTCTCTCTCTTCTTCAGGGCAAGCCTGAATGAGCCACGCATTTCAGATATGATGTATGACCCTTCCTGACTCTGACATGAGAAAATTATTGACTGTACAAAATCAAACCTAATGTTGGGGAGAAAAATCATCTCTTTCCTATCATCCAAAAAGTTTGCCTTAACCCACACAGTCTGATGGAAGTGGAAAGCTGGGACTGAAAGAATTTCATACCCTCTGGACAAAGATTCAGAAATATCAGGTGAGATATGGACTTCCTTTGAGCAGACAGCGGTGTGCAATACAGGTGGATATATATCGATCTAGTGGTGCTCAACCTACTGCCCCTGGGCTAGATCCAGCCCACAAAGCCATATCATTCAGTCCATGAGGTGCCCCATAGTTTAAACCATTTTGTGGTGAGGAAGTGGTGGCAACACTAACTGCTCACAGAATCGCAACGTCGCCATCTAGGAGGCTAGATGTACACCTTGCTGGGGTCGTTTGACCCCAGTACTCTTTCCTGGCATGGCAGGGGGTCAGACTAGATGATCTACTCAGGTCCCTTCCGACCCTAGAAACTATGAAACAATTAATACTGCCATTGTTCCCCACTGCCAAATTTTGAGACCCATGTGGAGCCTGGTGGTTGGAATACACACACAGCCCTGCGTGCTGGGTCATGCTGGTGTACAGTTGCTTTACAGCCAGATCTGGCACATGGGATCAGGCAGGCGTGCTAGATCTCACCTGTAAACTGACCCTAAACCTCAGCTCTGTGCAGGACTCATCCTGCAGACCAGCCCCACACTACTCATTCAGCCTGTGGAGCCTGGAAAGATTGAGCACCGCTGTATCAATCTGTTCCACATATTACAAAGCTGTTAAGTCTCCAGAGGCACTGAATACGGTGCTTAGATGATTGGGTCAATGTATCTACACTGGTTAGATAAAGGAGGAGGTGGAACTAACATTAGTTCGTATCTGCTTTTTGGCCCAGTTGTATGAGATGCTGAAGTCTGTTTCCTTTCTCTCAAGCCAGTGTGAGTTGGAGGCCCTCAGCTCCTTGCAAATGGCAAGCTTGATAGATAGGGCCCAAGAAAGGTTCAGGAGCATGAAATGAGACACCAAAGTAAGAAAACAGTGCACATTTTAAACCCAGGGCTGTTTCGGTCCAGTCCATGTACTTCCTGGGAAGCCCTGCCCCTAACTACCCATCAGCTTTACCAGGCAGTGGTAACAAAAACAGTGCAGCAGAACAGCCACATGGAAGTAAGAAGTGAACCAACAACACTGAAGGTACTTGTTACTTCACCTTCTACACCTGAGAATGGCACTGACCACAAGTGACAGCACACCCTGCAGAGGGAAGGTGTCAGGTCTCCCAGCAACAGGGACCCGTGGTCTGGTTCATTTTGCGTGACTGATGTAGAACAGTCTTCAGCAGCAGAGGATCTGCCCTCCAGGTCTGCACCCTTAGGACAATCAGCTATGCCTTAACATTTTGCAGGGAAGGCCAAGACTAGGAGCTTCCTCGGCTCATTGCATCAGCATCACCACCTTCTTCCCTCCCTCTGGTACTCCCCTGCCTCCGTCCTTAACCTTCACACTCTCTTAAAGTCACCACTAGGAAGAGCACTGGGCTGCACAGCACGTGCTTTCTCAGTGATGCTACACTTCCGCATTAGCTTTGACATGGGATTGCCGTGCTTCCAGAGATTCCCCCACAGCCTTGTCCCCTCCTGCATGCTGTACTGAAGGAAGATCTAAGAATTCATCTGCCACTGCTCCAAGGACTAAACCCCAAATCCCTTTGAGGGACTTGTATCTTCCATGTCTGTCTCACTCCTCAGCAAAGCGCACAAACTGCCTTTCAGAAGCCTTTATCTGACTTTCAGCAAAACAGAGAAAAACTATACTCTGAATGATTGATAAGTTCTAACAGCAAGCCTTGTGTTTTACAGAAAATTTACAGGGAAATTGATGTTGATCGTTCTGGTACCATGAACTCCTACGAGATGCGGCGAGCATTAGAAACAGCAGGTAGTTTTATGCTTCTGGTTGTACTGCCCCCACACTTGCAGGTCTGTATTAAGGATTATACCATTTCAAGTCTCAGGCTTCGGAGGTCCCTTCCAGCCCTGTTCTTCTAGATGCTTGGTGAATCTTAAGAGTCAGAATAAGATGCTTAGCTACACCTTGGAGGACCTCACAAGGTTACACAATGCCCTGGGCTTCACACCAGTCCCAAGAACCTCTTTTTACATTTACTCATCCCCACAGCCTTGACATTATAGTGTTGGCAAGGCTGCTATTACTGTCTGGTTGCTTTGGTGGAGAGCCTACTTCCCTTTTAATAATGCTGTGGCACCAAGGGGTAGTGCTTCTATGCGTCTCAAACTGTCTTTTAGAATAGAAGGAAGTCCAGTCTTGCAGCAGCAGCAATGTTTCCTCTAATAACCAGTTTTCCTCCTGACTTGCCCTGAGAAAGCTGCCGCTCCCTTCAAGAACATGAGTCAGAATGGGTTCTGCTAACCTTCCTGATCCCACAGGATTGGCCCAGCCAATGACAAGCCAAAATCCTGGGAGACTCAGAAATACCAATGGATAAACTGAAGGGGGAAAAAAATGACTTAATCACAATCAACCAGCTTCAGAACTTAAACTGCTGACTGCAAAATTCCACCTCCTCTATGTGGCCAAGAATTGCTGCATTTTCAGAGGTGCTCTTGTTTTGCAAGCACTTTTAACATTTTTTTATGCCCCATTAGCTAAAGCTCTGATTGTGAACCCCACCCCCACCCCTCCCGTTGCATTATCAGAAATGCAGTGCCATGAATGTCTCTGCCTTGTATTTTGCCCACCAGGCTTCAAGCTGAATTGCCAGTTGCATCAAGTCATCGTGGCCCGTTTTGCAGATGAGCAGCTCATCATTGACTTTGACAATTTTGTCAGGTGCTTGATTCGGCTGGAAACTTTGTTCAGTGAGTATGCGCTTAGTGACTCCATGGGGCAGAACAGCCCCTCTGCATTTCACAAGTTCCACACAGATAAGAATGCAAAATTATTTTGGCTTCATAGCAGAACAATTTAAAAGCAGCCGATGGTCTGAGCCTGCAATCTGATCTGCATGGCAAGACCCCTCCCCCCATATCTTCCTCATGGCCCTGCAGGATTGGGGCCCAGTGGGTTTTGTTCCTTCTTCCAACGCATGCAGCCAAGCATTAACTGAGCAAGAACAACAGCTTTAACAAGGAACACTTGTTGTTACTGTGAAAATGTCTTTGTAATAGACACAAAGCAGAGCATTAAGGAATTTTAATAATTTAATGTTTTGGCTTTTGTTGTTTGTTTCCTTTCTTGATTTCATTTAGCTTAGACCAGTCAGCAAGTTCCTCATGCATTAGCACAAAGCTTCAAGAGTTTGGCCACAAATCACAGAATAATTTGATAATGTTTGTTGTGGGGGGCAGGAAGGTGCTTTGCTTTGTTACTTTGGAAAAGGTCATTTTCATAAACCCTGAAGCAGTTGGGGTGAACTTTGCTGCTATACCTTTAAGACAAAGGGATACATCAACTTCAGCAACTTTCTTGCCATTCATCTCTTTATTTATCCCTTTCTGTGACAGAAATATTTACAAAACTGGATGCTGCAAAAACAGGGACAGTGGAGATGAACCTTAACACTGTAAGTTAATACATTCAATGGTAGGGATCATTGTTTGCTACAAGAGCCACATTGTCTTTGGTAGTGCTGGATTACTATATTCTGGCTGTATGCTTGGCTTGCTGTTTAGCATGACTGATGCATTTGGGGGGGGAGGGGGGAGTGTTGAGGTCCAGGCCCAAGACAGATTTGGGTACCTTGTATGCATGGAACTGTGGACACATTTTTTTTTTTTTTTTTTTTAGAAAAGATAAAGCTCAGTCTTAGCTACTTACGTTGTCTCCCATCACACCCCATTGGCCTCTTCCACTTCAAATAGCCTGTGCTGCTGGGATAAATTCTGATTGCACCCCCTTTTCCTTTTCCCTTTATGCCTTCTCAGCTCGTATCCTCTATTATTTCTGCCTTTCAAAGGGGGTTCAGATAAAGTAAAACCAGGGCTACTTTACTGCTTATCCACAAAGGATCTGCTTGATAATTACACCTCTATTTAATTTGTTTTAATTTTTCTAAGTGTCCCCAAGTTGACAGCACCTCTATGCAGGAGATGAGCTGCTGTTACTTCCCATTACTTTGAATGATGTTTTGAGTACAGTTGGCTCCTTCTGCTGACAACTTGGTCAAGTGACTGAAAAAGAACACCTGAAGTTGTTTCCACCATAAATGCCTCTTTTCACTTCAGACTTTTTAGTGTTACATGAACATTTCATGCACTTGATTATCTCAGGAGGCACCTGACAGACATCCCACAGATCATCTTCACTTGTAAGAGCATTTAGGTCAGGGATGTGTACACCAGACACATTTATTTTGTTCTGTAGTAAAATGAGAGGATACACATATATTACACTAGCATAAGTGACTCCATCCTAGGGGAAAGTTACCCCTCACACTGGGTACATCTACACATGCACTTGGATGTAGAGTTGACCAATTAGCTCCACAGTAAAGTGTCCCTATTAGGGCACAGTAAATTAACTAACTCTGCTGTAGGACAGTACTGCCCAACAAGTATTATCCTACAGTGGAGTAGTTATTACACATGTTGCAACACACATGTAGGTGGCAACTGAGGTTGGCTGGGGCACAAGAATACTTCAGTGCAGGGTTGCCTGCCAGCTAGCCAGTCCTGCACTGTAGTACCCTCATGCCCTAACCAGCCCTGTGCAGCACTTTGAGCCAGGGCAGAGTAGCAGAGGCTGGCAGGCAGATACTGTGTGAGCCCCCTGCCAGCTAGGGCTGCTCTGCCCAGGCTCAATATGCTGCAGTCCCAAGGACACATGTAAATGTGGTGCCCAGAAGCAATAAACTCCAGCAAACTGCTAGAATTTATTTGGGTGCAGTAATAGCACATGTAGATGCACACACTGAGGAGCAACTACATACCAGAATCCTGGGTGCAGATCTGCTCTTCTAGTCCAGAGATCAGCAACCTATGGCCCAACCCCCATCGCTTCCCTACTCTGAGCTAGGTCATATTGGCCCCTGCCCTTCTTCCCCTCTGGATAATGTTGTGGACCTCTGCCCATGTCAGTTTTATCAGCATTGTGGTGCTGTTTATCTAACACAAACCAGCTGCCCTGCCATCCAGTGGCCAGACCTGTTATAGCACCCACTGTAGGCATACTGCTTAGGAAAGCTGGAGGTGTGCCTACTCCACTTTATGAAACATGCCTATAACTTAGTGAAATCTTGGGGAGATTATTCCATAGTAATTGTATAATGTTTCTTCAACTTTTTCTTCCTTGCGCTAAAGCATGTGTGTGTAGACTTCATCCTGGGAACTCAACTCTCAGCACATACACCTACTAAAATTGCATTACAGGCCTTGCTATTGTATACATTAACGTATCTCTTGTTTTGCCTTCCCCAGTGGCTGTGTTTTACTATCATTTGAAGCAGAGCCTACAATCATCTGAAAACTTCTTGTGAAAAATCTGGACCATGAAAAATGTGTGCAATACGCAAGGGGGAAACAAAATACACTGTATGCCAACATTGATAGATGCCTTATATTTATGAATGGCACTGATTTGCACCAATGTGGAGGTGGCCACAGAAAGAGTATTATAGCATCAGAACGCCAAAGCTCCAGTGCAAATGCTTGCTGTCTCATTATATGGACTGGGTGATTTTTTTTTATTTTTTTTTTTTTACTATCTTTTATAACCTCTCTGTGAAAGCTTTAATTTTTATATATATATTCTTCAGTTGTATTTAACGAGCTAGCTTGTTTAATTAGGAAGTTATTTAAAAGTGCAAGTAACCATGAATCTCGTCTGAAGAAAAGCTAGGAACAAAGCTTGTAATTCCTTGTCATTTGAGGGAAGAGAGGGCAATGGCATCTTACTCAAAATTGCAAACCAAGTGGCAAGGCTGATGAAAGAAGGCAGCACAGAGGTTATTTAAAAAAAAAACCCAAACAAACAAAAACTTTTAGAAGTGCTGTGCCTTTTTTCCCCCCCCTACAAGCTAGAGCACAATGGACAAGGTTTCCTTTTAAATCCACAGTGCAACGAACAGATGCTATATTGTACTGCATTCTCTTAACCCCATTCAGTGAGATTTGATGTTTCAGACACATGATCTACAACATTTTCTGAGTTCAGGCAAAGAATCAAAGCAGTTTGACCAGCAGGAAAGCTATACACCAAAAAGAGAGAACAGGATCCAACTCTAACACTCAATCAGCATGTAAAAAGACTGTCACCAATACCTGGGTCTACAACCAAAACTCCAGGAGAACACCGCTGGTGCCAGGCACAGGAAGGGAAGCAACTGCCAGTTCTCAACTATCAAATCAAAAAGGAAGCCTTGTTTACATCCATTATGTAGTACAACCCACCCCCTGCAAAAAACTTATTTCCAATGTTGCCTTCAACTCTTCCCAATTACTTTTTATATTTAAATAAAGACAGTTATGCCTGGTCCCAGCAAGGTGCTGTTTTGTAGAGGGTATTCACATGTATAAAGCATCAGTTGTCAACAAAAGGACACAGTCCTTGCAAAAAAAAAAGTATGCAGGCAAGTTCTGGTTGATAGCAACACTTTCAGTACAGTACAGGATGGCATGCATGTGGTAGGTAATTAGTAGTTGCATGGTTAGTTTCCTGCAGAAAGGAATTGTGCCAGGCACAGAGGAGACCTCTGAGTAATAGCACGCTGTGCACAGACAGCACAAAAACACAAAGGGCTGAACCATGCCCACACCTCCAGTTGAGAGCACAGACATTATGAATATCAAAGAGACTGCAGTTAGAGGTCTCACTACTTACTGCCTTGTGAACTTAATGAGGACTTATGTCTTCTTCTTACTGCTCCAGTGTGCAGACATTTGTCTTGTCAGTTGGCTACATACACCCATTCTTATGTAGCGAGGTCTAACAGCGTTTCACCGGGCCCTAGAGTCATTGAACAACTCTAGTTATTGAGCCTGGTGTTCAGAGAAATACAAGCAGGATTTTCCTGCTGCTTTTCTTCTTGTTTAGAATACAGAAGGACATCATCTGCTCACCCGCTTAAGCAACTATGACAATTGTTCCAACCGCTGACATCATTGTCGCACCCCAGCACAAACCCAGCTTGGACTCTTGCCACAGTCCTAGAATTGGGAAGTCCTTTTGCTCATGGCCATTCCCCTGAACTATCTGGTTCCACTTGTTCATGTCAACCTAATAAACTCTTTCAATTTACCAGGTCCAGGGAGATTAGACTACAATAAAACCATCTGCAGAACAATTCCCAAACCCCTGCTATAGCAGAAAGAACTTCCTTAGGAAAATGTGAACCTAAGGAGGATGCAGTGGTATCGGAGATCTCTGCTGCACTTTTTCTTTATACTCTGCCTACAGATGATGTAAGCATCTCAGGTTCTTTTCCAAGGCAAGTTTTGATCATTAGTATTCAATACATAAATCTTAAAAACAAAACATAACCATTATATCTCCAAAAGATTATTCTATTGGAAGAAGTTGGTTAAAAGGTAGAATATTCTTGTATGAGTACGTAACGTTATTGGAGTTAAGCAGAGTAATCACCTGTAACCCCTACTCCTAGGGTAACAGCTGACAATTTGTGTGTTAGAATAGATTTCTTTTTTCTTCAGATGAAAGTCAAAGGTCAAAATCTTTGAACTGGGGTACTCTATTGATACACCTGCATATTGGCTTGAGATGTCTCAAGGCTCATGTCTTATGTCAAGGACAGAGAGACACTAAATGCCTAAGCAGACAAAAAACTTTAATTATCACAATTAACAAAAAATAAAAACAGGTAGGATTATAACAAAGCTTGAGTTGTAAAGTCTACAGAAATTTTCTACACAATTTTCAAAAGTTACAAAAGACAATAAATACAGAATTTGTGTAAAAACAAGAGTCTCTAAAACTACATTACCTCTAATATAGCACATTGTTCTGAATACATGGAATTCCTAAGATGCTACTGCATTTTAAAGTTATTGCTCAACAAATAGGTCAAAAGTTCCTCACTGGTAGATGCACTGTTTTATCAACTGCATAACTTCATCTCAGCAACTTCAACAAAACATTCTGCTTGACAGCAGCGTGCTTTTGGATACTACGCAGGTATTTCGGATCATTTCTGCCACCAGGACAAAAGTCAGCTGTGGTAAACATGAATTCAATTCCCCCAGTGGCGAAGTGAAAAATTTGTTGCATTTCATTCAGGAAAAAAAAATAGAATGGGAATGCTATTTCTGTGTGCACACACCATTTGGGAAAGCTGAGAGGGACTTGAACGTCTGGCACGCTTAGCTCATTTGTAGCACAACCCCATTTGCTTGCAAGCAGCATTTCACTTAGAATGCCCTCCTCCATTTGTGAGTGCATCAATCCTTCATTTGTTTTCAACGCATATTCTTCATTGCTTTCAAGTTACACTGCTGTAGAATAAGTCTCATGAAATTGGAACTAACAAAAAATGAGTAATTTCTTGTATAGAAGTGATAAGTCACCCACAATTAGTACTTCATGAGTCAGGATTCTGTACAGTTTCATGCCAAACTTCTTTGCCTTGGTTTAATCCTTGGGTACAGCTGGGGGGAAAAAAAAAGAGGAAAATTAAACCTGAGGTGTTTTACAAAGTACAAGTCTAGCTTAGATTTAAAAATGGAAATGCAGATAAGCAAGTCACATATACCAAAAATAGCGCCAACAAAAGTGAATTTAGCAGTTGCAAATAATCACTATTATACTTAAAGTAACCATAAAAATAAGAGAGAGACCAACTATGGCCACACAATAGCACATAAATATGAATAATCAGAAGCAAACACTGAAAAGCAGACTATACTAAATTAATTCAGCCATTCAGCTCTATACAACAGACTGTAATACAATAGGTTACGCATAGCAAAGACAACTGGGAATTCAGATTAGACACTCTTTAGTGTGCAGTAAGTTTCAGGATGCATTTCTACATTACTTTAAACTCTAACCTTTAAAAAAAAAGTCTTCTATTCAGTTTCATATTTCTCGATGCCTATTATACCTTTGACTGACAACAGTTAATCTGAAAATCCAGTATAAATTATACACCTGCCACAGACAGAAACTAGTAGAGACCAGTGGTTCTCAACCTTGTTAGGCTCAAGGCACCCCTGGAAAATGCCAGCTCTTAGCTGTCACTCAGGTTTTGACTATGGAAAAATAACAGAGCAGTTCTTCTATTGCGAAGAACTCTGAAAGAGCATAGCAGGTTTTTGACACTCTGGATTCCTGTTTGAAATCCCTGGGTTTGTCGTGTGAATGCGTAGGTATCTGCACACCTAGAGTGCTAATATTGCACAGAACCCTGCAGCATCTTTAAAAGGATCTTGCTGTACCCCAGGGTGTTAAAGTGCTTTGGCTGAGAATTGCTGATCTAGACAATATAGAAAATATTATTGCTATCTCTAGCGATTTGGGACAGAGTCCTCATAAACCAGCTCTGAGAGAGCATGGCATTTTTAGTTAGTGGACACTGGCTGACAAGTTAATAAAAGAGCCATTTAACTGCCTGGCCTTGGAACGACTTAAACGAATTTTAGGGTTTGTCCAACTGGGAGACTTGGCATGGAATATGCTAAAGTGCAAATTAAAAAAAATACCCAGAGTGAAGGACTCCCGTTAACTCCCTGTGCAGAAGCACTTACTCTGGACTAAGGGCGTGAACACACAGAACATTTAACTCCAGAGGGTTCTTAACTTAACCCAGGGAAAGTGAGTGAACATGCCTCTCTCAGTACTTACTCTGGGAGAAAAGCTGATCTCCTGTGTGAAGATACTTCTGAGGAGGTCAGAACTAAATGTACTTGCTGGTGTGCATTACCACTGCCAGTTTCACTTCTGGGTTGCCGCTGGCTCAGCGCAAACTGGTTCCCCCACCACCCAGAACCCATGCTCTATAACAGCACCCACTTCAGGCAGCCAGCTTAGAACTGGGCACGTGTCCATGCCTTACTGTAGAATTAAATCCACTGGGGTTAACAGTTCTGGTAAAGCATACCTTGTCAGGAGTCTGGAAATACCTTTGTGTGGTTTAGTATAAGCGGAGAGTGATCGCAAGCTGGCAGGAACTACACTTTCAAATGCACATACTATTTCACAGTAACATCCCTGTGTAGAAGAGCCTTCCTTGCCATTTATATTTGCTATATATACAAATAAATGTGTCAGCATTTTGACTAGAGAAAGTGCTTGCACAATCAGGAGCAGACAAACTGTAGTGAGTCTATTGTAAGGCTTTTCAAAGTCAGCTGAACTTTTCACCATCAGCTGAGATGTGAAACCAAACAGGGAAGTTGCAAGGATACCAAGTACACACAACCAACAACTCTGCCAAAAGATTTCCCAGTCTGCACAAAAACAGTCTGCATCTGCACTGGAATTATGATCTGAAGACTTCTAGACAGCAACATCCCACTCATGCTCTGCATTATCTACAAAAGCTCTGGCATGGAACAGTGAGTTTCACTAACGAAAGATGAGTTTCCCCTATCCCAGCCCCAGGAAAGAGACCATAAGCAGCCTCACCAAACAACTACCTTGGAAATCCCCCAAAGCTTCATCCCTTAGCCTAGCCTAGAGATCCCAGGATGCCACAACACCCACTGGAGAAAGAGAAACCCTCCTACCCCCAAGGCTAGTTCCCACAGCTACAAGCCTCCTACCCTCATCCCTGGGGGACAGGTGGCAGTCTATCCTACTTATTAGCATGGAATGTCCTACCTCTCTGCAACCTAAACACAGCTCTATATGTCCTACAACTCCCAACTAAAAATATATCTCCAAACCTTGCCCATTTCTGATTCTAACCTGAACCTAAACAGGTAATAATTTATCTTAGAGATTCACCGAATGCATCTAACCTGAAAAGAGGAAAGCCACTGTTATAGAATACCAATCAGGAAGAATGCATGAAGCTATTACACATTTTCACTGGACTGAACAGCAAAGTACAAGTTACAGCCAAACTTGCGTGCATCCAGTATCCCGCATGTCTTTTCCCGGGGTCTATACAAAGGAATCCATCACTTTGAATACTTCAGTATTGTGAAGGTCTCTGGGTTTTACTGTAATATTCCTATATTAACTGTGTTCATGTTGTAACAATGTTACATGCCTCAGTTTCCTTGTAAAGCTAGTACATAGGAAGAGTTAGAGTCCCTGCTAGACCTTGGTAATTTAAGAGACCTGCCTACATGTGGGAAGAGACGAGATGAATTGGACCTCCAGCATCACAAGAGACTTGAATAGCTTTCTTGCCATTTCAGCAACACCCAGGAGACTCCAGGGTTGCTGAAGTAGATAAACATGACAATGGACATGGCATGGCAGACAAGCAGAGTATTAACTGGTGGTGGTCAGCCTGAAAAAAAAGAAGGCCAGCTGAGCAGCTGTATGGTTTGTGGCTGTGCAGGACTAGAGGGAGAACAGCTGATTTTACTTTGGGGTGCTCAGGGGCAGGAGGCCTACACTGAGAAGACAGACACTGAAAAGCCCTTTGAAGGGAATGGAGCACCACTGGCTGAGCAACCTTTAAACACCTTTTTTCGAAAAGGAGCCATCTGCTTTGCTGCTTGGAACTTTTGGGTATGCTTTTTCCCCTGTGAAGAGGTAAAGTGCTTCTCAGAAGCAGAACTGAGTACTAGCTCCCCAAGACAGGACAACAGGAAACCATGAAGTGTCAGAGACCAAAAGACTTAGAATGGGATAGAGTCAGGACATCCCTTTACTCAAGAAGCCTGCCTGGGATGGCTTTAGGGGGTACTCAGAGACTAGACAAGACTGGAGGTCCCCAGCAAGCACCACCCATAGAGGGAATCCAGGACAAATAAGAATTGGAGACTGAATATTTAACAGCTCACAAAATTAACTCCTTCACTTCCACTGAGCACAGTATCAGGAAGTGTTAGGCCGAAGGTAAGTAATCTATCAGCACTGCACTGCTTCTTAGGTTGTTAGCACAAAAGAGCAGAAGTCTCTTGTTCTCATGCCTACATTCCTGTGGAGCGTGGGGGTCAGGGTCAGGAGGGAAGGGGGTGGAAAAGAAGCTGTATGTATACACTTAGCACTGGCAGAATGATCCAACAGCGTGGAAGAAACAGGAAGTCTGTTTCTGATACCTCCTCCAAATGCTGCCAGGAGGAGGACAGTTCTTAGCTGAGCCATTTCCTCAGCGTGCTGATTTCATTCCCACAGCTCAGCACACACCATAATGCAAATTTACAGATGTGTGCTAGTGCACGTAGAGTGGCTTTCCCAAGCCCAGCACTGTTTCTGTGCTTCCACTGAAGTCCATTGCTACTCCAGGAACAGCAAGGCGAGAGAGTATTGTTCAGTTTCTGAGCATATGGACCCTGAGGAAAGAACGGGCCTCCTCCCTTTACTGTCATCACCTGAAGACATGAGAACAGCAGCACCTTTGGTCCCCCACAAGAGGAGGATCTCTCTCTAGACTGCTGCCTGGGCCTTTGTCCAGCTGGGGGAAAACTTCTGCCACAAGGCCATTCCCCAAAATACTTCCCATCCCAACAAAACCCCCTGAGGAAAATCATTTTGGTCGACTTTAAAACTGCATTAGTAGCTGGAATTAAGTCCTTCCTCTGCCCCCAACATGAGTATTCCTCTTGCCCATTTTAAAGGCCTGCTGCTACCCATCAAACAGAGCACGGAGCTTCCCAGATGAAAACGCTGCTTGACAAATATTTGGCTAAGCAGGGGGGGCATATTCTGAAAAACTGAATGTATAACATTATCAGCTGACCTGTTCTAAAAGGCACAGGACTCCAGCCCTCATCTCCAGCATTTGAGAGACTAGCCCTGGGAACTGAAGCTAAGTTGCCAGTATGGATTATCTACATGAGAGAGGGGGTACAGTCTCTGAAGCATCAAATATCAATCAGCTAAAATTGAGAGCAGCTAAGTGGTTCTAATGCTGAAGGATTATCACTTGGAGCAAAAATATAGGGCATGTATAAAAAGCTTAAAGGGGAAGACTTCTGAGACTTTTTAGGAGCTTGGAGAGAGAAAGAAGTGTTTAAAAAATTGTTCCTCCAATGAACCAGTGTTTTAAAGATAAGCAGAGGATTGGGGTGGGATGCAGGAAAGGAGAAACCACTACTGCTAATGTGCATTTATTTTATAGGCTATAAACCAGAGCAACTACTACACCAGCAGAGAACTACAAAAAAAGATTTGCCTGTTCCCCAAATCTGCACCATACGGAGCATGATGTGCGCCATTTCTCAGGATTAACATTATTAACGCACCAATCTGCCAGTTTCTTACTAGAACAGTATTTATCAGACCACATGCTGTCAGACTTCACATGCGAATCATGGCATAGGTTATGGAGGCTTCTTCACCTTCTGGCCAAAATAGTTTACTGACATTAGTGACACTAAGTTACTAGAGCAGAGCAATAAGAATCTGTACAGGTTTAGCTATGACAGTATGATCTCTGTCCCCTCTCTCCTGCCCCCAGCATGGGACAACAGTTGTGTTCTGCAGGACGCTGCCCTCTGAAACAGCCAAGTGCAGAATTAGAAAGCATGATGCCATATGCATGACCACCCAGAAGAGAGGCAGAAAGGCTAAGAGCTCACCCTGGTAACTGTCATAGGACCAGACACTAAATAACCTGAACACAAGGGTCAGATCTGCAGCCGGCTGTGCTTACAGGTCTCACTTCTAGATAACACTGGTTGGTTACAAGTCAGTGGTTGTTGCAGTGAATAGGTATCAAGAGAAACTCACCCCCAGCAGGTTGCGTGGTACATATCCTTCCTTGTCATTTAGCCGTGCCCACCACCACTCAATTTCATCTTCATCTTCCCGGCGCAAAACAGTCATGCAGTCCCCTTCTTTCATGGACAGCTCATCGTTCTTCTCAGCTTCATAATCCCAGAGGGCATAGATCACCCCTTTGTTCATTATCCCCATTTTCTCCTGCACACCTAAAGCATTAATGAGAAAAAGCAGCTCAATCTAAAAACTGGATCGCGGTATCACTTGCAAAATGCATGAGAAAAATCATGATTCAGATCAAGTTAACCATCCATTCATAAGGAAACACTACAAGCATTCCTTAAAGTTACTACAAGAATCACAGCCGTGATCTCACATTCCAGTCTCCTATTTGTATAGTACATGAGGATCAGTAATGAAACAGTAGGACAGCCCAAGTTACAGACCTACCATAAAATCCCTATCATGAAAGGGCTGCTAATTATTCAAAGGTGCAAAAAGAAAAATACTTCTACACTGGTTTTCTACAGCCAGGGGACACAAAGAAACACTGATTGCCATTTCTAGACAGTAGTTTATTAACTTTATGTACAACAACAAAGCTTTTATTCAGCAACAGAAAAGTGAAGGTGGCATTTACAGTAGGCAAGTGCTACCATGTTCATTAGACAGATGGGGAAACTAACGAGTGGAAAGATTAAGTGCATTTCCAGTACCAATTAATTTCAAAACCAAGAATAGATCAATCACCTGATTAAGGCCCACACTTCAACCTCTGCCAGACACAGGTCACCTCCACCCACAACTTAACCTTTAAGAAACTCCTGGTTTTGTTCGTCACAAACACACATTCCTAAATCTGTACTAATTTCATCTTGATTTAGAAAAACAAGTCAGTTAAATTACCTCCCCACCATATGTTGAACAAATCTGTGATAATTATTTAGTGTTTGCATCTAGGAGAATTAGTGCATTGAAAGTGCTGTTTTCAAAAGCTCCCTTCTCACATGTTTCCCTGCTTCCGCACTACTGCCCAAAAGCAGGCAGGTTAATTTGGAGTTAGAGTTAACAAAATACTGGTTACAAAGACTTCTTACTTAGTTCCCATATTTAGCCGAATCAAATGACTTGGGATTTAAGATGACCGCCCCCCCAATTAGATTGTATATGTAGAAAAACTAGAAATGTGTTATAATTTTCCACGTATACAATCTGATTATTGGAGGATCATCTTAAATTCCTTCCCACCAGGCCACCCCCCAACACTGCTCTGGCAGGGAAAGCAGTGGTACAGGGGCAAACATTGACAGGGAGGTAAAGCAACCTGACCCTCGCACCATGTGCTCCTGCTCCCTCTGCCACTTGGCCTCCCTGCTTCCTGTCCCGCACCCCTCAGTGCCTTTCCCCACTGGTCCCACTTACCATGAGCTGTGGCTCTAGCTCTAGCCCTGCTCCAGCCCAAGACAGCACATACTGACTCTGGCCCCAACCCAGCCAGGCAGCAGCAGTTGTAGCGTTCTTGGCACCCCGACTCCCGCGCCACTGCTTCTTGGCCGGGAGGGGACCAGGGCATGTGCTCCATGCCCTGGACCAAAGAGGGGCCTAAGCTGGAGCCAACTTGAGGCAAACATTAAAAGGGAGAGACAGGGGTGGGGGTGGGGAGAAGTAGCACAGAGCAGAGTTGGTAGGCGAGTGACTGACTCCAACCTCCTCCTCCCACCTTTCTAAAATCCAACATGAAGGACTTCCCCCCCCAGGCAGAACAGAGGGGGGAAAAGCCTCATCCTGGATTCAAGTAAATACAATATTCTATCTAAAATGACAGAGCTTAGCTCTCTTCTCCCTTCTAGGGCGAGAGGAGATAGAAAATATACACAATTCATCCTTGGCAACAAAAGGAAGGAAACAAAAGCATTTGTGGTAAATGTAGCAGCTATGCTGTGGTGGTAGATGATTCAGCATTTTCTGGTTTGCAGGAAAGCTCATGGTGAAAGCTGAAATCCTGACAGTGTTGATTTGTTCCCTGCTTTCATACAGCTAATCAGCACTGCTTAACATGAATGCCAGAGTCTTTGGAACAGGACTTCTCCGTTCAGTTACAGGAACAAGCTTTCCACATTGAGAAGAGTCAGAATGCCAAACAATGCAAGTTATGCAGGCTTTCAGGGAGGTGGGCTGACAGAGCTACAGTGCATGGGAAATGCATAACCATCATCTTCTTATGGCTTATATAAAAAATCATTACTTTCTTTAGCTGAGTTTAAATAACGTGCCCGATAAGGCTCTTGGTTCTTTAAAAAAAAAGAAAATGGTATCAAGGCTCCACCAGGCAGGACTAGTCACACACCTGCCGAGAGAGAGATCATGCAACCAGGAAGAGCAAGGACCTGTGCTGACTTTATTTAGCAACTGTAGGTACAGGTCAGAGGAACCAGGGACTTGGGTAGCTGTGTGGGTCTCCCCACAGCAACATGCAAAAGCAAAGCTGACTGGAGAAGAGCCAGCATGTTAGGAAAGGATGAGAAGCATGTGGGACAGGAGCAAAAGCAACTGACTGTCCTTAGACAAAGGACTTCATGATCACCTGGTGAAGAACCAAAAAGGATTGGAGAAGCCTGAATACAAATGAGTGAAGGAGTGTACAATTTTTAGGGAATTCAACCAGATGGCAAAGGGCAGATTTCAACTGGGAGCACCATGTGCATACTGTGCGAATGGCCAGACATAGCGCTGGCACCTCCATACAGCAGAAGCATCAACCAGAAAACAAACCCCTTGAGACACCATTGCAACATCACACACACATTCGCACACCCTACATGTATGCATGGGCAGGGATTACTGGCAGACCATGGGCATGAAATCTCCTCTACCATCTCCATTTTGATCTGAGCAGGTATTTGTACAGGATTCCTTTCCACCTCTGATGGACTGAGATTTGTGTTCAGCCTAATGCCTTCACTTTCACCAACTATTTTACTGGGTACTGAAGTGACACTCTGCCTCAGTAACCTTAATTACACTGGATAGCAAAAAATTGCAACAATAAGGATCAACCAAAGGCTTTAACAGGAGAAGCAGCTGAATGGAGGAGGAAGGCAAGATAATGAAACAAAACAGCAGAGGAGACAAAGTTACATGTAATGGACATGATTTTGTCTAAATGCTCCCCCCCCCAGTTTGCTCCAATCAAGTAATCTCTCATAAAACAAAAGCCAGCAGATCTAAGAGTGGATGCGATTATATGCTAAGTAATACCATAGTTCTGCTGTAAGCATCTTGTCCTCTGCATGGATTAATTTAAATTTGGCTAGATTTGCTGCAGCTGCTGTTACAAGGATTGTCTGTTCATTGACACTAAAAGGGATTGGTGAATAATAACCAGGACTATGCATTATTATCTGTTCTGCTGCTGCCCAGCACCAAGCAGGCCAACCCAGTTGACTAGCAGGTTCTGGCCACTGCATACCAAACTATGGAAGCACTTCAAATCAACACTCATTTAAGAATAGTAACACAGGCAAATTGAGAGGGAAGCACTCCAAACTAGCTCTCTGGTACCAGAAACAAGAGCTGCTTCTTCAAGAAACCTCCAACCACTTCTGGCTTCCAGAAACATGCTGTTAATAGGCTTTGAAACCCACAAAATAAAGTCAGGGTTTGTGTTCTTAAGGACCACTCAAGCTCTTGATCAAAGGGCCAATCTCAACCTAGTCGTCACTAAAACCTGACAGCCATTCAGTGGTTACCCTGAGGCTTGTCTGAAAACACCTAAACTAGGTGTTTAGGTTTAGATTCCAGTAAGGTAATTTCTTCCTTTCAAAAGGAAACCTTTATATTGGGCATCATGTAATACCTTGGTTAATAATCCTATCTTTCAATATAATAAAGACACCTGAACAAGTTTCATATCTGGACACCCACTGCCTGAGACAAGTGCCTTTAAAAAATAAAATAAAAATAAATAATTAGATATCTATATCTATCCCTGCTTTACTCACTAGTAACAGAGACATACTGATCAGTAGTGCTGATTCTTGTTCCTTAAAAAGCAAGTGGCATAACTTAAAATGCACACTACTGTAGGTGTTCACAATATCCACCACTGACATCATCTAGGCACTTACAGAGGTGAACAAGACTTATTGTGGTATGTATGCACTTTTTTCCCTGAAACATGCTGAATTTCTTACATCCCCGGTATCAGGTAATTGAGGAACATGCACATTTATGTCAAGAACAGTTTTTAACAAACAGCTATCCCTTCAGTATCTGAACAAGGCAGAAAACAGTCCTGCACTTAAATTATGTAGCAGCAGGCAGAATACATAAAAAGCTATGGACATGCCAAATTTACAGCAAGAATCTCCAACTGAGCTGAAAACTTGGCAATAAAACTCTCCTGCTCTTAATTATTCATTGCTAGTTGATATTAGAGCTGAAAGGCACCACACAGGAGCTTGTCAGCAAGTGTGTGTCCATACAGTGGAATGCATCACTTCAGTGGGCACATGTTGGTTATTAGACAGCCATCCAATGGGCAAACTCACCGGTTAGTATCTCAAATCAACTAGCATGCCCTATGATCAATTTACTACCTTGGTCCTTTCAGCAGAGCAGCAATCTAGTAACTGACCTCTGAAGAGGCCAAAAAGGGGCAGCTGATACTCTTCAGAACTCAAATACTTATGGCCTACCATACAGAAATTGGGAGCACTGGGTGTAGCCTTCTTCCATCTCTTCGCATTTGTCTGCTGCCGTCTGCATGTCACTGTAGGTCATGGCGAACACAGCAGCACCTGACTCCACAAGGAATTTGCATACCTGGACATTATTGCAAGATGCTGCACAATGTAAGGGTGTCCTGCAAATTAGAGAGAAGACTGGTAGTGAGGCCCAAGACGTCTTCACACGTGTTGCTGAGTCAGGCTTACTGACTCCTTGAAGCAGACTGCATGGGTAAAGACCCACAACACATACCTCCAATGAAACAATTTGACTCCTAGTACTAACAGCAGTTGCATTTCCCAGTCAACAACAATTTCCAAGCAGCTGAGACGCACCCAACCTGCCAGTGACCAGAGAGGCCAGCATGAAAATCTAATTACTAATCATGCTTCTCTTTCCCAATCGGTCAAATTACAGGAATGCTTACTAGGGCAAGTTAAGCCTTATTAAGATAATCTGTCTGAATTCAGGACTCAAGGACACAGACAACCAGCACTGGGGCTGACTTATCTACACAACAGAATCTGTAAGTACTTACCTGCAGCTGGTTCTGCTGATTCTATTTTATGCCATTTGATTTGCCTGCATGGGTTGCAGGCACCTCTGATATAATCAGATGTACAGGGACATAACAATAAAGCCTTCTTAGGGTTCTGAACCTAGCAACCTTTAGATGCAATTCTCCCTTAAAGAACTATTCTATGCCTATTAGAAGGAAAGCTTCTTAAACTAAATAGCATAAACAATTATCGGTGAGGTATCAAGTAAAATTACATAGAGAGGTGAAGCAGGAAAAGGTCACTAGTTTTTCAGTAACTAAGCACTTTCTTTAGATAGGAGTGAGACCAATGCTAAAGTTGCATTTTCCCATTAAGACCACCCTGCTACTGCAGCAGTCCAAGTCCCTCCCCCACAGAGCTGAGAGCTCAATGAAAGGAATGCATCTAGTTCTTGCCAGACACAAAGCTAAACCAGATAGTCAAACACAGACACTTCCCATCAAATTAATTCAGGAAAGTCCAGAGAGAAACACTGTTTGGCAGAAAAATTTCATACAAACACCACATTAAAAGAAAACTAGAGACCATCTTACCATCCATCACTATCTGCAGCATTTACATTCACTCCAAACTGCACCAAGAATTTCACTATTTCTGTGTGACCAGCACACACAGCATTGTGAAGTGCTGTAATTCCTTCATCATTGGGCATGCTAGGATCTTCAACCTACAAGGCAGGGAAAAAAAGAAGTTGTTCACATTCCATATTTACAGTTTTGCCAGCTAACCAGGTGTCAGAGCGCAAAAATGGATGTGCTACTGATTTATTCTGCAGGCAGGGCAGAGTATCTGTAAGGGTTATCAGCCTTTAGAAGCTATGTATATGAACTTTAAACACAATGGAAGCCTCTCACACGCTTTGACACGCTCATTGTTAAATTGCGACACGCTGAAAAGACATCTTTACTAAATTAGCTGGACATTATAACAAAGCAGCATTGTCAAACAGATCAGAACTTGTTTTATATGGGAATTTTGTTTTCAACAACAACAGATGCTTCTTCCTTGTGTGTTAAAAAGTCACTTGATCCATAACAGATACTGGCAAAAGGAAGAGACCAAGGAATGCTCATACACCATGACAACACTATTCTAAACTCTGGATTTGCCAAGGAATATCCAGCATCAACACAGTGGATGTATTACCATCTGAATTGGCTCACGGTCTATGGGAGATCTCTAGGCATCTCCTCAACATACACTGTCAAAGAACTTCAGGTTCCCTAGCTATATTTTTGCCGATTTAAACTTTGTTTCATACCATCTCTTATAACATAATATCTGTACCTCATAAATGATCCTCTGTACAAGGTCGAATTCTCCCTCTAGGGATGAATCTAAGAGCAATGCAAGAGGGTTGAATTTCACTCTCATTCCATGGGCAATCCTGTCAGAGCCAGTTTTACGCAAGTTTGTCCTCTTCCCCTGGGAAAACAAAACAGGTTTTGTAGGAATTCACATCCAAGTAGGGCAAGAACACAAAGCTGATGCACCAAGAACGATGCGATGTACTTTTGACTGAGGCTTTTACAAGATGTAACTAAATTTCCCACAAGACCCCTCCCCCACTTCACTGTGCTGTACTGTACACTTCCCAGGGGATTTTGCTTTCCTCTGAAATATCAGTCACTGAGGTCACTGCATAGACTAGATACATCCTAACCAAACACACACACACACACACTCTAGATATAAATATTAACAAGACTAAACAAAATTCCAGCTTTTACAGTCAAAGTATGTTATCATTATTGCTTCAACAGCTCTCTCACTGACCAGAAGGAGAAGAAATGATGATGGCGTAAGACTCATTAATACCAGATACAAGTTAGGGTCTTCCTGGCTTTGAATAAACATAAGAAATTTCTTAGCAGGAACAGGAGTTTTGGAAACTAGTTTCTTGGGTAATTTTTAGAGAAAATTTGTAGGACTAAGTCTGGTTGTGCCCTAATGTTTACACAGCAACGTTGGAAGTTTAACTCCAGCTCTTCAAGCAGTCTAAGCCCAGCTCTATTACAGAGAATATGTATATATTAAAACAGTGATATCCCCAGCTGGCTATGCAGCAGGAAAAAACACCATTTATAAGGCTATGCAAATTTCTGACAGATGTCAGTGCAACTGATGTAAACAGAAATGAGTCAAGTTGACCTCAGCTCTTTTGAAAATAAAGAAAGGCAAAATATTCAACAAACAGCACAGACAACAAACCCATGATCTGCAAGTAAACAGATATTACTATTCCAAATTAAATTACTACAATGGGTCTGGATTGTTACGTAAATAAACAGCTTGCCCAACTACCCAATCATCCCAATACAGACAAAGCTTTTTGCCTCTTTCCACATCATTCTCATATTAGTCCTGAAACAGAGAAGTTTGCAGGGTATGTTTTAACAGACTCCAATATAAACCAAACTGAACCAAGTAATTAATATCTGGGAAGTCTGGGCTGTTAAAATTCTTCACATTTGCAATTTTTTGAATTTTCTTCCATTTTAAACAAAGTGAGAAAGCGTAAGTGAGATGCCACACAAACCCAAAAGATGGGGATGCAGGGGGGTGGGGGGGAAAATGAACCTTAGTGAAAGCTGTTGGGTCCTCTGCATTAAAATGACTTGAAATATTCACACTTATGACACTGACAAGGTCTGTGCACAAGTCCCAAGGAAGTTTTAAGAGACTGCAAACATTCAAGTATTTCTGTTCTAAACCAGTGCTCAGATGGTATGTTTTGTCATCTCATTTCATTTCAGTTTATTTTGGCACTTTAAGTGGCCCAGTAAACCAAACAGTCTCTATCTTGCTCTAAATTAACACTGATGAGGGGCTGCTACTTAAAATTCAAGTTGCAGAGAATCAAACAACTACATATTTCAGTAAAATGAATGCGAGTAGTTGATGGCCATTTTAAAATAAGTTTCTCAACTGAAAAAGAGTGGATTGACACACAAAGTTGCTTGGATAGTGCATGATGAATACACAATATAATTCATAACTAGGAATATTAAGTCTTCATCTACTATCAACAATGTAAATAGGGATTTCAAAAAGTATTGCCCATTTCTAAATCAAATTTTGTTACCTCAGGAAGAAATTAGGCTTGATCAACATGGGGGAAAATAAGGCTCAGGCTGAAAGAGGCCTTTCTATAAACTGTAAGAAGACGTTACTACAGATTTGCTCTGCCCTATTCCATGCAACTCAACCACAGTAGTTTCACAAAAAAACAGAATAGCAATAGGACATCTACAGAGAAGTGCCTCTAGCTTGTTAAGCAACTACTCTACTGTACTGACCGGAAATTTCTATGGGCCAGTATGTAGCACCAGGTACAGATTCAATTGGGAAAACCAAAACATAATCAAGTCTCAGACTGCTGACAGGTGCTGATACTTACAGGAGGTAAGGCAAACTGGCCAGTAACTTCAGGGGGTCGCATACTGAATGGGTCCTCCCCCAAACCCTCCGGCTCTCCAGATGGGTAAGGTGGTGGTGGGTATGGAGGATATTCCTCCATGTATATTTCTAGAGGCAGTGATGCCTCTACACTGGGTTCTTCCATTTCTGGTTGCACAAGCGCATTGCTGTCCAACACTCCCTCAGACAGGGCATCAAGGCTGGCTGAAGGCACAGCCACCTCATTCTGATCTTTGCTCTTGTTTTCTGTTTCCTCAATATTGACCGGTTCAGGTGTGGAAGGAACCGCTTCTTTCTCCAATTCCGTGCTGAGATAAGGGTTCTGGATTTCTGTTGGGCTTTCAGGACTAACCACAACTGTGTTTTGCTTAGAAGGGTGTGATGGGGTACAGATGGTCTCCATGGCAGCCAGAGTAGTTCTCTGATACAAAAGCTTCTGAATATTAGGCCCATTTGGACCTTCTGGCTCAGTAATGGAGCTACGCTTCTTCAATGGCCTTGGTGCATTAGATAGCTTCTTCCTCAGGGCCTCCAAGTCAGCATCACTCTGATTTCGGTAAGGGTTGGACAAGAAGGGCAGCAGTTTGGTGGGGCTGAGTGGGCGGGGAATTCTTTCTGTTTCATGGTTTTCAAGAGCAGCAGACGTTGTTTCCGTTTCAGGCTCTGGACTGCCTGGCTTGCTCTGGCTGGCTGAATAGATGTTCTCAGTCTGCTGTGGCTGATTTTGTGCACCAGGTCCAGCCATCACAGGCTTGCCATACACTAGTGAGCAATTCAGAGAAAGAGTGGTAAATATCTGGTCAACAAACCAAACAGAAATGTGATCCGATCTATCTACTGCAGGGAGGAGACAGAGTAATTGTATCCACTTGGACCTGCCAAAAACTAGTCTTATCCAATAGTTGTAAGATAATGCTCGCACTTGAACACAGAAGGATTGTTTTAGAGGCCACAAGAAAAGGACAAATTCAGATTTTTATTACACACCTAACTTCTAAAAAAAAGCCAGTATCAATACTGTGCACTTCGTAAATTCTTTTTTTGATATCTACATCTTATGACTACTACTTACAATTATAACAAACTTGACTCCCCAAGGACAGCTATATGCACACTACAGTTCCCACAGGACATGCTATATTTCAGACAAAAGTGAAATACGACCTCTTCCTTACCACTAGGAAAGTGCGATGCTCTGGTCTGTGCCCTGGTCAAGGCACTCTGCACTGCCTGCTGGAAGTTCTTCCCAGGAGTCTGCTGCTGTGTATACATGCTGTATATTGAACTCGCAGCAACGATCTGTGGCTTTCGAAAGGGTTGAAGGGGGGTCTCTTTGGATGGCTGAGGGGTGAATGGTCTCACAGCTGCTGCAGGTGGACTCTCCTGTTTAGATGAGGAAAGAATTTGGTCCTGGCTAGTGGAGGGTCCACTTGGAGGCACAGAGATTCTCTGCTGGATCTGCTGAGAAGAATGCGGTGGCTGCTGTGCTGGTGGTTTCGGTTTGTTCCCCATGGATACAACAGCCAAAGGCAGCTTCTGTGGATTTCCATCAGGCTTAGTCTCTGAAAGCGGCAGCTGACTGGCTTGACCAAAGTAAGGCAAGTTGATCTGCTTTGGTTTAGTGGGAACAGGCGGTGGTACTTTTGTCACATTCTTATTGGGAGTCTGAAAAACAACAACCAAAAAGCAGCCAAGTTAACAAAAATCCTGATCAAGCAGCAGTGCAGTCTGCACTAAAAAGTGTTTCCAGGAGAGCTCCAGTTCTGCCAGGAAAACTGGAAGTGTGCTCATATGCCAAGCTCTTCTGCAGTAACAGAACCCTCCACTCTTCCAGAAGACTTATTGCACCTCTGCAGAGGAAAGCAAGGCTTTTGCCACCACCTGGCAGCCTGCATCAGGTACAGGGAGACAATCCTACATCTCCAGCTAACTGCTGTGGTCCATTCAGAAGCTAGTACCTGCCCAGATTGCTCTTTGGGCTCTGGTGGCACAACTGAACACCAGAAGCAGGCAGCAAATAGCAGACAACAGCTGCCACCAGCTTAGTGTAGACAGCTAGTGTGGTCAAAGTACGTCCTATCGGATCTAGTGGGAAGAAATGAAATGCTCTATGGATAGCACAATGGCTAGACACCTCACTACTTCATAGATTTCATAGACATTAGGACTGGAAGGGACACCGGAGGATTATCGAGTCCAGCCCCCTGCTTCAGGGGCAGGAAGTCAGCTAGAGTCAAACCCTTTTGCAGCCCTGTTTAAAACCTACTGATATTCGCAAGAAAGGCTCCTGAAAGCTTTCTTGCATATAACTCCTGAACAGACCAAACAGTCTTGGATGCTGGGCAGGTGGAAAGGCCTGTTACTGTAACCGGGTCATGAAGGCGTCAATAGCTGCAAGGGTAGATAGGAGGCTTACCAAAATACAAAACACAAGCAGCTTACTTTAACTTTTGTATTCCTTCCCATTTTCACATTTAGTTGCATCTCTCCAGTTTTTCCACACCCAACCATCCCCCATCTCGTAACAAAAGTTTCAGGGAAAGTTGTGTAGCAGCTTATTCAAGATCTGAAGGATGCTATCAAATAGCATTAATAGGTTCTAAACAGACATGCACAAACCTAAATGTTTGGTTTAAAAATACATGCTCTACCTACTAGCCGAGTTAAAACGAATACTGAGTTCAGAGAGGCTGGTGCCAGTAGCACAACTACACGTATACAATCAATATATAGATATTCAGTCAGAGTGGCTTGGTGTCACTTACAAGAATTACCTGCTCATTTTTTATCCAGGCTATCCCCTTCAAGTAACACCCAGAGATGCTAGTGGATTCCTTTAAAAGGTATATCTGTGTTATTTAGATGGATTTCTTGGAATGCAAAAAAATTAGATAAGTCAAGTATAGAAGCAAGGACTGAGCATTTTCTGCATACCTGAGCATCACGCAAGAGATCTTCACTGCTCTGATTTTTCCTAAGTGGGCCCAGGGTTGATACACCAGCAGACTGATCCACCGAGTCAAACATTGAGAAAGGACGCACCTTCTTCTCCTTTTCTCGCAGTGGAGTTTCTCCATCACCAACTAAAAGGAATGTCAGGATCAGGAGAGACATTTGGGATCCAAACACACACAAACAGACCTGCTCTGTGCAGCAACATCCCCCCTTCTTACACGCATGAACATAGGCACATACAAGGATGGATCCAAGATCTGGTAAGGGGGCTGTGGAAGCCTCTTCCCCTGCAGCCCACCAACACAGCAAAATGGGCCATGGGGGTCTCTGAGGACATTTTAATGTCCCCAGAGCTGATAAGAATACCCAATCAGCCAATCAGAGCATGAATAAAGTGTTATGGACAGACAGACACAGACAGACAGACAAAGGCTTTTATAATATTAGAATAATCACAGAATCAGAGAAGTAGGTCTGGAACGGGCCTTGGGAGGTCATCCATTCCAACCCCCTGCCTGAGGCAGGATCATCGCTTTCCAAAGCATTCCATACAAATCCATTGCCTAATCTCTGTTATATTATAAAATTATATATTATATATGCAAGTCCTTTCCCATAATGACTTACTCAGGGCCCAAAGGGGAAAAAAGTAGTATGTGATAAGCTGTCAACAAAGCAACAGCATATCTGCAGCCAGTACATTCTACTACAGCACCATCCAGACTTATAGGTCTTAAACTCTTCACCTCTTTTCCCACACATACCCTTGTAGATTATTATAACAAAGCTGTGAGCAACCAACTGAAACAGTAACTCTAAATTCTAAACTGAATTAAAAATTTGAGCTGAGGCCTAGAAAAGAACCATTTACCATTAACAGTTTCTCCACAGTTTTTAGATTACCAAACGTGAGTACGAAACAAAATAAAAAAACCCTTTTGTATGGGACAGGTAAAACTCACATTGCCCTTCATTGGTCATATTTCCTTTGGCCAACATGGAGGCTGGTACTTGACTAGCAAGGCCATCTGCATTTGAATTGCTCCAGTCAGAAACAGATGGTAGAGGCTTTGAACCTGGGATTGTAGGACCTAGTGTGTAGGAGGAAGAAGAAAGAAAAACAGATTAAACTAAAACAATTCTCACCAGCTGCTGCACTTTAGATTATTCCTGAAATTTGTTCATCCAACATATTTCTTAAATCCTAAATTTTGTTTTAGTACTCTAGATTTCACTAGGCTTTCGTAAGAGGTCACCTTGACATTAACATAAGACGACTAAGAAAACTCCAAATTTATCAAAACAAAGAACCTCACTGGTTTCAGCTCTCACTTGCATCTTGAAAATGCACCACTTTTGAGCAAAAATTCTTCGAGGTGTCTTTTACTCGTCCACTTCTAGTTGATAAGGAAACTTTTCTTGATTGAAAAAAACCAGAATCAATAAAGCAAGGCATTGAGTGGGAAGTAATGGAAAAACATTTAATGGAAACTGAAATATGTGACACTTTAAAGCAGAAGTAAATCCAGCCTGTAACATCCAAAAGAGCAGAAAAATCATCCATATTTCAACATGAAAGCCATGGAATTGGAAAGGGCTAAACTTTAAATTTAACAAAATAGGTATCAAGCCTGCTTCAAAAACAATTAAACTGATGTGTGCATCTTGCTTTTTTGATACAGCAAAAAAAAACCTCAAAAGTTATCTATAAACTTAAGGTGGCACTCTTCTTACACTGTAGAAATATTTTTCAAATACTAAACAGCAAGCAACAAAATGTATATTAAGTATCGGAAAAGGCCTCTCATAACCAGTAACTGTCCATTCTACAGAAGTGTACAAAGCAGAGCCCAAGTGGGACAAGTAACCAAGCACTACAGAAAGCAAGGTTTCTTAAACAAGATGTATTTGACAAATTGCTAAAAGAAGCATTTGGGTTTTACTCTATTCAGGGCTCACAGTCCACTCCAGGAGTTTTGGTTTCTACTTCCAAAACCATAAAGACTGAAACTGCTTTTCCATTTACTAAAGCATCTAGTGCAATGGCCATTTCTTTTTAAACATCCAAGATCACAGAAACAGCAAAGTAGAACACGCACACATATTCTATTCAGATCTTTCACCATTTAGGAAATGGGATTTTTTTTTTAAATACATTTTTCTTTTAACTGCATTTTGGGGCAAGATTACATACAGAGCCCATGCATACCCCATAAACACTCCTCCTTTACTAGCAAGTGAGGCCAGAACAAGGAATCAGACTACAGACTCCTAACAGAGCAGTGTGGCACCAACAAGGTCAACATTTTTTTTTATACATTTTTTTCCTAAAATAAAAGGATAAAGGTTTGATTGTTTGTGAAGTGTTTGACATCTTCAGAATTCTCACCACTGTCAGGATACAAGAACTACGAAAAGTCTCCCTAATCTGCACTGAAGGCAGAACAGTTAACCATTTCTAAAAATTACAGTGAATATCATTTACACACAGTAGAGTAACTTTTGTTCGTTTAAAGTCTGTAAAAAAACCTCTTCCAGTGCTCCACTGTTTTGCATTTGTTTACACAAACTCCAATTTCCGATTAGAAGATTATGTAACTATGGAAAAACATGGACTTTTGGCTAAAATAATCTGCTTTTTTCTTTTGTTTTGTTAAACAGATTAAAAGCATTCCCTTACAACATGAAGGTTAAAACCATCCAAACAAAGTAGACTTTGCCACTTTCAGATACAAGAATAGAATGGAGCAGATTGGCTTTCAATTAGCTGAAATATTGTTTGACGTTTCTATGTACTTATTTAACTAACTATCTGGAGTGAGTCAGATCAGGAAAACACTTTTTTGCAGAATGACCAGAAATTGAAAAATAAATTACCACCAGGTGCTTTTGCTTGCAAGACACTCCCAGCTCTCATGTTTGGTAGTGTTTGTGTCTTCAGTGGACCATCAGGTGCCTGCAAGTTTGAGGTGCTGTCTGGAAATGCAGGTTTCACCAGAAGTTCAGGCCTGGAGGCAACGCGTGGCATAGTGGAGGACTGGATATATGGACCTACTGCTGCCACTCGACTGGGAGGGGATACCACTTGCTGAGGTGAATTCCCATCTGAGGAAATCTGAATAAAGAAGGGGAACCATCATTAATACTGCAATGCACACCACAGGACATGCAAACAGGAGACAAAGGCAAAAAAGTAGCAGGGCTCCTTTATAAAGAAGTGCTTTTAAGGTCCAGACAAATATACACAAGCTCTGCAAAAACAAGATAAGAGACTCTGCCCATAAATAACTAAGTAGTTAAACACCACTGCAACGTGAAAAGCACTTGAGTACTACAAACCTAGATCTACCTTGGAGTAAAGTTTAGCACTAGAACAACATTCCCCCCAAGCTAGGTCTTAAGACTATTTTGGCAGCAGACTAAAACAGAATTATGCTTCTGTTATTAAAATATCCTGCACTTACTGGTACATTTTCCTTCTGCTGCAGTGCTGCCTTCTTTTTCCACAGGCGCTCTCTCAGCTCATTAACACGTTTATCCATGACTGCCACCTCAGAGTTGCGCTTGTTTAAACACTCCCTCTGTTGCTGCAGCTTGGCATTCTGCTCCTGGTTCAGTTTGTTCCTCAGCTGAATATATTCAAGACGGTGAGAGGAAAACAACAAAACCAAACCAAAAATCAACTTTCTGGAGGGAAAGCAGGAAGTTCTTGGAATTCTAACAATTCTAAAAGCTAAAAAAGTAAAGTCAAGTTCACCAATTCACATTGCTTTTTCTTTTTGTTCCCTAACAGCATGATGATTAATTGTATTGTAATGTCCAAACCTTCTCAATGCTGTCTACTCCACCTGTTCTCCTGAATCTGATTAATGTGCTAGCCTCACGAGCCTGAGCAGACCACGCATCTTTAGCTTTTGTTGCAACAGCAATTAACTCTCTTTCCAAGGCAAGAAGTGACCCTCCCAACTTTTAGCTGTAATTGGAAATTCTGATCTGGAAAGCAGATCTGACGTTACCTGCAGCTCCTTGTACAGCCGGTCAAGCTCAGCAACAGCTGACTGGTTGTCATGGTAACCATCAATTCGGCCATTCTTCAGCATCTCCAGTTGTCTGGTAAGTTCCTCTACCTTTGACACAGCCAGTACCAGCTCTCGCTGCTTCTGCTGGAACAAACTGTTCATCTGTTCGATTTCTTCCACTAGAGAAGAAGAGGCGCACAATAGCCGCAGTTGAGAAAGGACCAAATGCGAGTTGCTTCCAGCAGCAGTTAAAGGAACAGAGAGCACCCTGCAGTTCTTCAAAACAGCCCAGGGACCAGGTTTCCAACATACAGTTACAGATTGCTCAGACACAAGAATCTATTGCAGGCATTTCTCAGTTTAAGAAGCTTCCCCACCTCCTCCTTAGTCTTTGCAATTATGCAGCAGGATAATTCATTTCCAGCAAATTGTAAAGTTTTATCAACTCTACACCTCAATATGCTCAGCCCAGTCCACTGATGATGAATAAAAAAAAAGCGAAATGTTGCTTTGGTCATTTGAGGGACAGAAGAGTAGAAAAATGAGGTTGTTTGTACAGAATCAGATTATCAGTTATCAGGATGTATTTATCTGGATAAAGCTAAATCCAGATTTCCATGAGAGCTGCACCAAAAAAAGTTTAACTATCTTTAGATAGGCACTTATGATATGCAGAGTTTTTAGTTTAGGTGGTCCGAGTTTAATGAGCAAATACCCAAATTATTAGTTATCAGATCAATATTTCTTCAGAGCTCTGAATGGGCTTTCAGGGGTATAGCAAACAACACACTACTATACTACTCCATCAGGTCCTCTTCTAGCCCAAATACATCAAGTAAGACCCCCAAAAAAGTTTAAGTAACTAATGAGACACAACAAGCCAAACATCATTCAAGCTGCATTAAAAATCCTTCCAAGGTCTTTCTCCACTTTTCCTTACTGTGCTGCTTCACAACTTCTGCCTTTGAACTCACAATTTGATGTCTTTGCTCACTATATTATCTATTTGAATTACATTGTAAGCTTCTCAGGGAAAAGGTTTTGCCTTGCGTTATAGCTGCAATGCACTGTGCATCATTTTGACACTTAAAGAGCATCTTTTCATTTAACTCTTGGATCACAGCTGCTGCCAAGGACTGGAACTACAGGTTAGTGGGGGAAGGAAAGGGGGAAAGAGGAAAAGAAGAGAAACATGTGAATTGATATGAAGTCTGAAATAAAGTATTGGCTATGTGACCAACTG